TTTGTTTCAAGCATACTGAACCCTTAATTAAGAGATAAAGTGAGGCAAAGGGTTCCTCTTTTTATTTTGGTCTTCACATTTAAAGTAAACTGAACACTTTTTTTATTTTGTCCGACTTGTGACTGTGCTCTTTTCACTTCCTCTAAATGTAATTTATTGTATGTTACTTGTTACTTTATGCATTTCAATGTAAAGCCCTTTGCCAGTAATTGCATTTGCTATATGAATAAGCACTGTGTACTTGAGTACTCACATTTTATGCTACTTTATGATTTTGCTCCACTGCAACCCAGAGAGAAATTAGTTGTTCTAAACGACCTAACACTGATTCAAATGAGCACCGCCAACTACAACTACTTACACATTATACTTGCAACAAAGTAATTTTACAGTGTGGTATTGTCACTTTTACTTAAGTAAAGAATCTGATTACTTTTTCCACCGCTGTCTTTATGTAAATGTCTCTTGTGCGCTGTCCTGCTGAAACTGATTTAATAATTGAATCTAGGGACCCAAAGCAGGTATACACACTTGGATTGTACTGAGCATTTTTCCTTTCCAATACCAATTTCAATATCTCGACTCAGGGTTGAGGGTGTCCACGGATACCAAGTACTGATCCAATACCAGCGCTCTCTTTTTCCTAAATCTTTATACCTGATTGCATCAAACTCATTGGAATCATTCCCAATACAGACCCCAAGTAATATTCTTTGGGGGACCCAGATTCCTACCTACATCCATCGTCCTCTGCATCCCAGTCTTTGTGCAGAGCGTGGTTGCTGGATGGCTCATCAGCTGAGACAAATTATTGTGTGAAATGGCACAGCAATGTCACAGCGTGGGCTGAGTAATTCAACCAGTCTGATGCCAGAGAGTGGGGGCAGTCTTGCATCAGAAAAGACTTAGGGACGATAGCAGAGTAGATGAAGCAAAGAGATCAATATGGCACAATTATTGTGCACACACTGTAATTGATGAACACGTGGCTTGGGAGGACTTCCTCTCGACTAAACCTTACAAGCCAATTTCAGCCTAATCGAACCGGTTCAATAAGGCCTATTTACTCAAAGTGCTTTTATTTACCTGCAAGGCACCTCGCCGCTGGTATTGGAGGACGTCTGTATCTTTATTTTTAGACTCTCTATAAGTAACACACAGCGGCAAAGTGCTCTAAAGTCATTGACTATCAAGGGAGATTCCACCGTGTCTATTTCCTTTTCTATTTACAATACAGCACATTCAGCTCTGCTGCCGTGTATAATCCCTGAAAATACCAGCTCTCTCTCTCAACTCAACCTCTTGTCATGCTTCCACTGCAGAAAATGTAACAGAAATAAAAATAGTCTTCAAATTATTCCAGCTTCGACTCCGGCTGGGATACTTTAATTAAAGCTGTTTGATGTTTGCTCTCAAGCATTTTGAGTCCCAGTAAGGCTGGCTCTGATGTAAGAATAGGACAGGAGTGACCATAAAGGTGATGTGTACGGCTGTGGATGTGTTGGAGCACCTAACTACCTCACTATGGTGCTTTCACAGTCTCCCTGTGGCGGCCATAAATTCACCCTGTGATTGGAGAGAGGAGGTAATGAGGGGCCCAGCGCACTGTGCGGCCACACACACACTCGCAGACTTCCCAACGAATGCACATTTCTCCGTAAATAACACCACCACTGACCCTGACAGCGGTCTGATCATCTTGGTCTGCCACAATCACCTTCCTCCAGTAAATCTATCTAATTAACTCTGCAGCTGAAACCAAAGAGTCTCTCCTCCAGTCAATCAGAGGTCTCTGCAGCGTAATGGTTTCTGACAGCACACAAAATTAACTGAATACAATTAAAAGTCTTTTTACCTTGTGTTCTTGCTTTTCTCTACAGTATTAATTGTTGTTTTCAAAAGTGTTGGACGTGTAGAATTGATGGCCACAGAAAAACAATTTAGTTCAAGGCAGACAAAATGGCTTTTAAGTTCACTTCAAAAAACCAAAACAAGGCCTGACAGCGTGTCACTTAACTGGATGTATTTCTGTACTGTGCATATAACACCGCGCTGCCTTTGCTTTTTTTTTCAAGCGCTCTATTATTGATGTAACAGGCAGATTGAGTGGAAAATGGGAAAAACGGCAC